GGCTGAAGTTTCGCACTAAGTTTAGTTTACGCCAAACACCACATTCGCTTGCCTCAGACCCATCTTGGGCCCACGTCACCAGCGCTGACTCTAAAACCCATCGAGATACTGAATGTGCCGACAACTAGCTCCAAAAGGGAAATTCATCCCTGGTCGTCACAGGCAACTCATTTGCTCAGCGCAATAGCGCCTTGTACGTGAGCTACTGGTGCCGGCGCTACAACTATTCGACTATACCGTCCATAACAAGGAAGCGAGGCGATTGCAATATTCGCACTGAGGGGACCACTATATCCCCGGGGGAAGTTCTAGCCAAGTCTACTACGGAAGACTTTGATCAAGATATGACCCGAAAGTCGACAAATCGTGCATTTAAAGGGAAACAGTGCCAAAATTCCTTGTTGACAAGCTGGTTACGCAGACACTACATCACAAGGGAACTTCAAAATTTTTTAATTTTCATTTTTTTCCCATTTCTAGGTGCCCGGCTGAAATCAGGAGAGGATGAGAAGTTAGGCAGGCTCGCGATCAACTATGACGTATAATTATTATAGCACTGGGGAGGCCTCTGGCGAAATGGGACATTAAGACGGAAAAGCCAACAAAGAAGAAATTTTACCAGATCCGCAGCCTAATTCAACCTCTCTCCCCAATCCTAAAATAAGACCCTTTGCCAGGAATGAGATTATGACCTCCTTCTCTCCTCCCGTTTGGGAATCGCTACAAAGGTGGGCCCTGTATGCAGACGCAAAAGGCATACGGCATAACTTGGAAGAGCAAGTAATCAAAACTCACTCTTGGTACGCAGTGAAAAAGTTGCAATTTGGAAAGAGCAAGCAGAAGTATCTCTCAGAATGAGACAAGGGAAATGAAACTTTCAGAAAAACGCGTGATGATTCCAAGAATTTCATTTCAGAAATTGAACTGGACGAGGAGTAGAGCCTCAGAAGCCGTGTGAGACTCTCCTTCATGCACGTAATTAATGCGCCTGAAGGGGCCTCATAGCCTGAGCTTGACACGATTTTGCATACAATTTTCGGGCAAGTAATAATAATATAAGTAATAAAAGAAATAGAATGATGATTTTCAGAATAAGAACCTCCACACTGAGTGTCGTGCAGTGCACCCTTCACGTCAGGGGCAGGGAGGCACCGACGAGCACTAGCATCGGTGAATAGGATTAGGATGGCCTAGCTGCGTGGCGCTCAGGCAGTTTGATGATTATTCTTTACTGCTTGACATTATTTGAGCCAGTTTGCTGCGAGAGTAATTCAAAAAGCAGCTTAAAACGGGTGATCAGTCCGTCAACAGATCTAATACCCTCGAACCAATGCGACGTTTGGCACGCACCTCCCTCCCGTCGCTTTGGAGGCACTCGTTCGGGATTTGCCCGGGTGGAGCCGGGATAACTGCAATATTGCGCGCGCCTTCTCCGCATGCCCCATTTTTTTGCCTATGTTTCCTGGCTCCACCAAGACAGCGTCAATCAAGCGAGAGATATTTAAAGGCTGGCGAGCTGAGGGGACAACCTAGCTAACGCCGTCTCATCACGCCAGGAATAATAAACTGGCTCGATGAAGTGACGGTATCAGTACCACTTTCCTGAAAGGAGAACTTGGTTGTACTCCTTCTGACAGTCTAGTTTCTGTCTTAGCAAATCCTCATCTCATTTCAGGCTCATCTCCCATTGGAATGATTGAACGGCTAATTTACTTACCATTAATTGATCTCTTCTGTGTGAGCGCCATGCGTTCGATTCCCACTCTGAAGCGGCTTGCGAGGTAAGATTTTCCTGCAACGCTTTCCATGCAGTCTATGATCGCCTCTCCATTGACCTCGGCATGACGGCAGCAATATTTAAATGTGTTTTTTGAGCGATCCGAGGAGCCCGATTTATACTTTGAAAAGATTTTCGCCAAAGACAGATTGAGCCTATTTTTACGGGGGTTCCAAATACATACAAAAGCCTCACTGTCAGTTCCCTAAGCTCAAGGTGCCGAATGAAAGCGACATTTCGGATAAGGTCATCCCTGTTCAGATTTTGTTTCATAGACTGCTTGACACTGAAGTTCCGTTCTTACGGCAATTGTGAATGGATTAGATACGAATTGGTTTGCAAATAGATTTTATTTACAGGCTCTGAGAAAAATACTGACCAAAAGTTAGCCAGATGGAGAATTTGTAGCCCATCTGCGGATCGCTCAATAAACGCTTTCCCATATAGAGCAGGTGAACATGGATAGTTCAGAAAAAGTTCTGATACATAGCTTCTACCTTGTCTTCAGGTACTGATCTCACCTCTACGCTCCAGACGTCTTCTTTCAAATGTACTATATACCAAATATAGTTATGACCCCCGCGATGGGGATCAGGGGAACATGTGCGGACCGCCCAACCAAGGGAGTCGGTATTTCTCGCTGGGAGCAGGGAGGCGGAGGTTGTATCTCCCTTCTGACTTTTTAGAGAAGTTGCTCGACTTTGTGTTTTTTGCCGTGGTTTTGTCATGCGTACTATAACCCCCCCCCCACCCCCCTCCCCCCCCCCTCCCGCTTGACAGCTCGACAGAAAAATTTTGGGTAAAAGTAGTAAAATTTTTGGGAAATTCTGGAAGAGGCGGTATGAGGTTGAGGGAACTAGGGGATCGTCACTTTCAGGGTCCGTACGGCGTCGTAAATCTCGCCAGCTTGATGCTGTGCCTGGATGGGATGCCTCTACCTACTTCCAGCAATAGACGAGAAAGAGCGTAGAGACAGGGCACCAGGGGAGGGAACGGAAAGGCGAGCGAAATGACGCACACTTTTCACCAAGATATGACAGCGGTGCTAAACAGATACAAACGTCATTCTCCTTTGGGTGGAGCCCCTGGTAGGTAGGTGGAGCTTCTATGACGAGTAGCAACCTCAACGCACTTGTTACTCGCCTTCGTGTCGTGTGAGTGATGCTATTAGGTTGGCGGGAAAGTTCTGTCACTTTTTGGAACTTAAAGTACTTGCCCAGTACCCGAACAGGGGTGAACGGTAATGTGAGCACTTATACATCAAAGAGTGGTCTTTCTATTAGTACCACTCGCTTGATTCCTGCTTCTTCTTCTTCTGCAACATGGACAAAAATGTTATCCGCGACCATCGCCGAGGACGCCCTTTCAAATGCTTCTGATAGTACAGCGCACTTCCAAAAAAGTTCTAGCCATTCCTCATGCAATAGAGCTGGATGGCTCTCCCCTTGCAGTGGTGTAGCACAGACATTGCTCCTTCTAACTGCGAGTTGCCTCCCGTAATCAATCATTACTGGACGAGAAATTACGAGAAAACCTCGAAAAGTCTGAGTTCAAGCCAAGATTGAGATGATGTCCAACTTTGTATCGCGCCTCCCTGCATTGTGAAGCGATGGCATCCATGAGGTGCTCAAAGGACTGGCAAGGACCTTGCGCTGTACAATTTTGACCTTACACACCTATCTATAAAAAGAAAGCCCAAATTGAAAAAAGTGACAGAAATTTCCCGCCAACCTAATACTTCAGCGACCGTAACAACACGAGTGAAAATAAAAGAAACTGGAACGGAGCACCGGTAGATGAAACATCAGGCTGTAATTGTGGCTCAGAAAACAGCTCCACCTTAGGGTTGGTGGCTACTAATAGGCTATGGCTATTGATGTTGAGCTGAAAATGTGGAATGCGACCTCGGAGGGAAGAGGTCAGAGTGCTGACAAACGTCGGAGTCGTACCATGGTGCCAAGAGTTTTGCCTGAACAGTAATGGGAAGTTCCAAGAAAGTTTGAGAGACAGCAGAAAAGGACTGGAGAGTTCTTGCACTCGACTGAATTCTACAAAGCGAAAAGAAGTCAATACACTTGTGTGCTTTCGCGTTATCCATGAGAGTAAAAGTGTAGAAGGATAAAGTCCCTTCCCTTTGTGGGATGCGGCACGCATCCTATTTTCATCCAGAATCGTGGCTTATTGAATGCTATGTCGCCCATAGAATGACTTGCATGGTTAGCCGGTTACACTCAGTTTTCTTATCGTCGCAGACGAATCTGGTACCTCATTCTTTGCTAAAAGGTAATCTTTGTATGACAGATCCGAACGCCTATAAGTTATACACTGCTCCACAAAAGTCCATTACCTGCCGCGTAGTGAATGACAAGCTATACTACCTCTTCTGACTCTTCTATTCCTGTCTGCTACTTCACAAGCTAGCAAGTTCGAAATTCTCATTCTGCACTGTTGTGGAAGTAGCCGAGTGTTAAATATTTTTTTGTGCACGCCCGCTCCGCATTTCCATTTCCTGTTTGTCACAGTACATTTCTCATTTCCGAAAAGTGAAACAGCAATAATGCTACGGTTTTAGATATTCAACGTGAAGCCTATTTCTGGATTCTTTTGAGTACTGTGAGTAAGACGGCTTGGTCTGTAAATTGCCAGCAGGGACACATTCAACCTGACGTCGAATTCAAACTATTCGGTTTTCATTCGTGAAAGCGCTTTAATTAGAATCATTTATGCAGGGTTAATGAATTTTTGCAAGCTGGTGCTTCCTGTAATATTGAGCGAGGTTGAAGCAACGTCTATTTCACGTTTTCTTTTGGGAGCTTCCCTGGGACGGGTTTGGAATCTCGTGTCATTGTCTGGTTTCCATTCACGCGCATATTGTCTTTGTTGCTCCTTTCGTTTTCTTTCGAATTCTCCGTCAGTATAACGGGTAGGAAGAAGCGACGTCTTTTCATGAGCAAATTCGCGTTTAAATTAGACTGACCAAATCATTTTGAAATCGTAATCGATAAAATGTACTGGAAAAGATTTCGGATCGATAATACTGCATGACTACTCATTATATGTTTGTTGGTTAATGTACTGGAAAAGATTTCGATCAAATAATAGCTGCATTTGAGTAACTCATTGATATTTTTATTGATGAATTAGTGACGATGTGCATCATTCACTATTCCAGAACCGTGTCAACGCCATACAGCAGAAGCGTTCTCCTTGGCCGTAAAATATAATGGCTCGGACGTGTCCACATTGTGGATGCTCCGATATCGATGAGGATACAGGGCGAGGTAAGTCGCTCATTGCCAGCTATTACTCACAGGGAAGTTTCACCAACTTCCCAGTGAACTTTAAATAGGGATTTATAGTTAGGTAGATCGACAGCGTCTGGAATGCTATATACATATATGGACACCATAACGGCCGCCTGCATCTTGTAGCTGTTAGAGATTGCTGTCGTTATGCAAATGCAATGCATTTATGACGCGTAAAATGAATCGCTCACTTATACAGTAAGAGTGTAGCGCAAGGGTTAGTCTCTCGTTTGAGAGCAGTTTAGCACGCCGGGTTCGGTCCTCATCAATGCGGAGGTTTTGTACTATTACCATGCGGATTTTAGGCCGATATTTTTGTACTTGTTTTTGGTATTCTTTCAAATGGGGTCTTTATCGCCGTCACATATTTGAATGGCAAACGCTAAATAGGGGACTACCTGCCGTGCAACTGAAACACTTTCTTGGACTATAGCTTTCGCCTGAAAAGATGGTCTCGACAAAGTCATAATATTATTACATGCTGTGTAATCGCAGCGCACAATACGCATGCCGGCGATATGCCGCACTCTTCCCTCCGAATTTGAGGCGTTTGTTTCGAGCGCATTAAATTCGTCATGAAACGGATCAGGGGCTACGCATTGACAAGCTCTATAGACATAATCCTTACATTACTCTTTTGTGATTTTTCAAGTTTGAATCAGAATCTCGATTCGGTTAATTGATGTCAAGGGGTAGTTTGACCTGCTGAACACGGATATCCTATTTGGGTAAAATGCCTAGCGTCCACGCTATAGGCGCACTGTTCTTAAGTTTTCAACGAACTGTGGGTCTTGCCCGCTCATAACTTGTTCGTGAGATGCAGGTGGCAATTTTGGTTACCATATTTGTAAGCAGCGTCCCAGACTCTATCGTTATACATAGGTCTCCACTGATATTTCCATGGCTCTTTGACGAATTTACGTAAGTATATTCTTATTTGTACGTATATTCTTATTTGAACTTTGCTATAAATATTTCCAGGCGATGCCACCTGTATGCGATGCGGAACCGTTCTTGAAGAATCAATTGTTGTGGCTGAAAATCAGTTTCAAGAGAGATCTGGTGGTTCTGGTCACACTCTAGTCGGTTTGTAGATTTATTTATTTATTGCGATGATAGTTTATGTCTGCTAAAGCAGTACCCATTTATGATCTCGTGTCACGAAAGTGGGCTGAACTGTGCTGCTTCGTCACCTTTTTTGTGTGTATTTTTATGACGAGTGTAACAAGACAATCGTGATAAGCTGCGCTTGTGGGCATGGTCGAGCTATGTAGTGCCCGACGGACAAGTTGGCTAGCCTGGCCGTTTTGATTTGGATGTTAAAGGAACGGGAACAGCGCCCAACATGGAATCGTGTCTCCGCTTGGGTCCAGATGGTATTGCTGCCCCAACCGGCAACCTACTGCATATCAAGAAGGTTCCTCCCTGAAGAGCCTCTCTGAAAAAGACTGCTTTTCTTTTGGGGTTCAAGATAAGGAAAGTAGTCCTCGGGTATGGGATCCTAAGTCGGACGTCTGTCGTGGAATACCCAGCGATAAAGGGAGGTGCTCGTATTCGGAAGAACTTCCTGCTAAAATGTCTGCCCCCTTTTTCTATCAAGAGTCTGATCTACTTCCTCAGAAGTTTCGAAAAACGATCACTTTTTCTCAACCAAAGGCTGTGGTTACAATCTCTGCAGTTTAGGTCCAAATTTGAATTAGTAGGTGATGGCCTGATTCAACAATATGGAATATTGCCGACAAAACCGTCTATTAAAAGAATAGAGGAGAAAGTCCTAGTCATGATCAATCCCTATTTGGGATGCGGCACGCATTCCTTTTGCAGTCAGATTCGTAGTGATTCGATAAATGTGACGTGGCCTTTACAATAGCTTGCGGGAGCCAATCTATGTACAAGTCAGTGTTCTTATCTTACCAGACGAACCTTGTATCAGATAACCGTCCCCAGCGGGAAGAAGAAACCTTGGATGGCCTGGACGGAACCGATACGAGACTTGGCCCGGACCGCGCGCGTATTGAGCGTGCTACTTGCTACTGCACCACCTCCGCATGGCCCAGGCATAGCTATAGAAAAGCTCAGACAGCTAAAGCCCGCTGTTCCCGTCGTGTAACCACGATTAATTACAGCAGGCTCCTTGTACTTCGAGCTGCCGCCGCAGTGTTCTCTGGCAACATTTTCTCTGGTTTGCCTACTACAATGAAATGAAAAGGTTTATTCTTTTTATGTCTTAGGTCAATTTGTATCTCTTGAGCGCGGGCAAGCTCAGGCGCGAGCTGCCGCTCACGGATTGGTCTCACAAGAATCTCGAGAAGTCACTTTTGCGCGTGGCAGGAAACTCATAGAAGAAGTGGGTTTTTAAAAAGTTCTCCGGATTTTCACTACCATATCACTACATCATACTCTTTGTAGATAGCTAGTCAACTTCGAATAAATCAACATTGCATTGATACATCGTACAACTTTTTCAAGATGTCAGTCAGTCGTAATCTCACACGTGGACGCGTCAGGTTCTCCTTTCATTATATGTCTTGCTCTTTTTGCTACGATGCGTTCATACTTTGCAACAGCGCTTTAAAGGCAGTTGGCACGATAAATCCCCAAAGACGAGTAGGATTAATACGCCTGGCAGGACGGAATTCCACGCCCCTGAGAAGGCGCTGCGCAGCGCCCTTTCCAAGGAAGGTACCCTTCCCATGAGAAAGTATCTATGTAGCGGCACTATCAAGCCCTAACAACATACCGATACGCCGCACACGCCCGCCCGCCCACAGATTGGACGCACCAGTCTGAACGGCTTGTATCGTCTCCGTGTTGCGAAAGTAACAATACGAAGCGAGGCGTTTGATATGAAGCGGGCCGCGATGCTGCATGATATATATAAGCCCATAGTGAGCCGTAGTTTCCTTACGTTTTGCACCGCTTACTGGCAAGATGCCGCGGGGAACTCGTCCGAGAATTGCTTTTAAGTCAATTAAGAACGAAGCGAGTACCGTTTCGTTCCGTTCCTTTTCGCCGTTTTCCCGCTATATAGCGCCCTGCCAGCAGTTTAAGCCGAGTACCAAATTATCGTGCCAACTGCCTTTAAACGTCTGTTAGCGTTTTGAGCGTCCGCCAGGGTTTTCAGTGATTATGAGGAGAAAATAGGTATCGATAGCGTCTTGAGAGTCTGCATTTCAAGCGTACACCAAGTGTTTTTAGCTACTCAAAGAGTATAGGTATTTATCGTCGTAGAAAACGCTGACTGACGCTTATAAGCTGCCGCACAGTATGGACTCACTCTTGCTCTTTCAGAATGGCTCAGAAATCTTAAGTTTTTCAGATCTCATGTAGTAGCTGCTTGTTTATATATGACCTGTCGCCTAGAGAACACGGCGCATTTACTTCTTGACTTTAGTGATGTTACCCAGGTAATTATCTTAGTCTGGGACTTTTAATGTTTTGCAGTGATCTTGTAATTTAGGTGAACATGTTTGATCTCGGTCGTACGCTTAACTTTCTATCTCGTTCTTTACGGATCAATCTGCCGTCCACGGATCCCTGTCTCTACATAATGCGATTCGCATGTCTTATGGAGTTAGGAGAGAAGCTCAAAGAGGTTTGTAATAACATTGGATCTAATCATTGAGCTTTAGTAGATGAAAGGCTCAAACTTACCTCTGCACTAGTCCCCATTCTGGCCCTCTCTAGTAGCTTGTTTGCAGGTTGTGAATCTCGCTACTAGGCTGGTTCAGCGGATGAAGCGAGATTGGATGTCTATGGGTCGTCGGCCAACAGGACTGTGTGGCGCTGCACTTCTCCTAGCAGCAAGGTAGTACTTCTGTTGTGCGCTGCTGACCGCTTTTTAGTTTCGAATGCTCATTACTTTGATGTAACTATTCGAATTAGCATGCGTTTACCGCTTCCCAACAAACCCAATTTTTTTAAAGGGAGGGTAGTACCGGTAGTATACTAGTACGCTCAGAACTCGTAAATGGAATTCCCGACCAGCAATCGAGCTTTTCATTCCTACGAACTCAGTTGGCAGCGCCTGACTTTCGGAGAAATCACAGAAATGCATATCAACTCACCATTGTTGCTTACTTGACACGCCAGATGGAAATAGGTCCAAATGCTATCACGATTCTGAGTGCTAAACGAATATGTAGCTGCTATGCTAACCGAATATGTATCGCGTGCCAGAAGGGTTCAGTTTTGCTGCTACCTCCTCCATGTATTTAGGCCTAGATTTATGCTAGTTTCTTTTGAACAACTATTAATGATCGCAAAATGAGCATATAGTCCATTTAAAATGACCTCTAATTTTACTTCAGCTGGTGTATTTTGATGATCTATTATTTTTCTCTATTAATTTTTATGAATTCATAATCTCTAGAGCATACAACTTCAACCGAACGATCAGTGATGTCGTCAAAGTGGTGCACATTAGCGAGTCAGTGGTTAGGAAACGTCTGGATGAGTTCAGTAAAACTCCGTCGTCTGCTCTGACAATTGATGAGTTCACCACTATAGATTTGGTAGGTTCTCTTCACTTTAGGCAGGAAAATCTGCTGGTCTTTATTCTCAGAGTAGTTCGGCTTGGTATGGGCATTGTAAGGCATTCTAAATTTCAATAACCAAAGCGGCTCACTCACACCATTCCACAGCTTCTCAGGAATTCGCAAGTCTCAGTAAAATGATACCTGTTAACACTTTCTCTAGTTCATGTTACCTGTTGGTTAACCATGAACTAGAGAAAGCTCTCTAATAATTTTCTTGTTTTTTTTTACTTTGTTCCCGGGAATATATTTATGTAAACAGCAGTTGTAAGAGTAATCATGTGAAGGGGAATACTGGAGAAATTTAGATTCACTGAGAAGTTGTTTCGCTATGCTGTGTCGTTTCAGGAACATGAGGAAGATCCTCCTGCTTTCCGTGAGAGCCGCAGAAAGGCCCGCGAAGAACAAATCGCTAAAGAGGCTGAAATGACTGCTCAAATGGAGAGGGAGTTAGTACTTGGTGTTGAACGAGATCTGGTTGTTGTCCAGACATACTGTTAATTTGTAGCTTCTTGGCATTACAGGTGCTTCCCATAGAGAAAGAGGTCGAGCGTGCCCTTGAAAAGAAAAGAAGGGAAAAGTTCAGGAATACGCGATATGCGAAAATTGTAGCCGGCGACTTAGGTAAGCTGAACCTCAGAGCATGTGATATAATTGTCTGAAAACTTTACTCAGATCCTAAGTTTCACGCCTAGAAGTTTCGTTTTAAAGTTGTTTCCCATTGAGACTGGCAGCATACACTGCAGAGATTTATTGATTGGCTTTCATGGGTTTCACTTTCAGATTTTTTTGCTGATTTAATTGCGTTAAATGCAAGTGGCACGATAAATTGACAAGGCGTACAGGGTCGATACGCCTGACAGTAATGAAAGAATATTCTGCCTTAGCGGGCGCTGCTTGGCGCCTTTTCCGACCAAGAGCGCCGTCTAGCGTCTTGCCAGTCTGCAATATGCCGGCTCAGACTACCATCGCAACCGCCCGCCTATGAATGTCCGCAGCGTTACATCGACACTTATACTGTTATCGCTTAATTGATGAAGCACACAATTGATACCAAGCGTTGCTATATATTTATATGAATACAAGCGTGGAGCAGTATCCACCACAGTGTGATTTCACGATGCCAACGGGGAAACTCGTTTGAAATTGTTTGTCCAATGCCATGAAAAATAGGGTTTTACTCAGTATTTTGGTCGTTTGACTTTGTTTTCTCGTCATACTCCCACTACATAGCACCTCTTCTACTTTTTTTTGAAAGTATCAAATTATCGTGCCTTATGCCTTTAATGCGCTTGGGAAAGGACGGGGTGAGTGTTTTCAGAGTCTCAGAGCTGCATGCCTGTACCTCTGCTCGCTTAGAGAAGGCGAAAAGAGAAAGGGTGGTCGCTCACGGTGTTTCCTGGCTTCGCCTTCCCACCAGTCCCGCACAGTGTCCATTACCAGTACCTAGGTGGCGAAATATTTTGGCTATTTCTGAATGCATCCTGCCACTTTCTGCAAAAAAGTGGTCTTTCAATGTTGTGTATATTTAACTGACATCAACTGCCATGCGATAGCGTAGATTGCTGAAAAAAGCAAAGTTGGTGGAGACAGGGGAAAAGCAACAGGAACTGGTTTTGCTTTGTAAACTGGGAGCATTTCCACAGCTATTACTGTTAAGATGATCCGGAAGTTGGAGTTGCTGAAGGAAACCTTGTGCGAAATGAAATCATGGACTCAGTGTATCGTGCTGCAGATGATGAAGAAGAAAGGTGACTTCATGTTGTTTTAGAAATATTGCGTTTATTCGTTATGATTTCCTGACTGACAAAGTTTCCTTTGAATCTCTTTCCCTTACAAAGTTGACTTTCAGTATAAAATTCCTCAATAAATACGAGTCTTTCAGACCTAAGACACCAGACTACAGCCATCTGGGGCCGACGTTACATTCACTTGGTATTAGTCCCCTGAAGCCATCGCCTGTGCCAAGCTTGAATACTTCGGTTGAGACATCTACTCCTCTTCCATCCCAAGACAGGCCTGATGGATCGCTGGACCTTTCAGGTAGTCGTGATTTTTTGACCTTGATGTTTTTTTTTACATAGCGACCGTGTTTGAGGTATTGACGACGACGAAATTGATACCTACATCCTCACAGCAAAAGAATCTGAATTGAAAGAGCGCTTTTGGATGAAGCTGAATGGAGAACACCTCAAAGAAATGGAGCGGAGGTTAACTCGGTTTTTTTCCTCATAGTTGTAGTTGAATGTGCAAGCAACATGAAGCAAGATCAAGAAGTTCTTGTATTCCACCAGTTGCCGGATCACCCACAGTATGAATTATGCTTTTTTTTTCTTCAGGCGAAGAGAACGCGAAGAGGAGGAAGAGAAAGAAAAGGACAACCCGTCGAAGAAAAGACGACGACGTACGAATGCTCCTCGACAGAACTTGGCATCTAGTACAGCTATTGAAGCTATGGAGAAGATTATTCATGTGGGTCCAATCTGGAAAGTCTAAAGGAACATGCCAAAGTTCCCGGCGCTGGTTGACATTCCGTGAATGCGTTAGGGTTCAGAAAAAGCACGAAACTTGATTTTATGATACGTAAAGATGATCACGTTGAAGACAAACTGTACACTCACCTTCGAGGGCGGTCCATGTCATATGCGAGGCGAACCTGTCCGCAGCTGCAGTACATGCACTTTCACCACTTGTAAGTGCACTGGTAAGAGACTGAAGGTATGCGGTGCCCGAGCGCCGCCAAATTGCGCCCGCAATTTTCGCAAAATACAGCGCTTGTTCTACACCGACGTCCCGCGGCGGAACCCGTATTCAGAAGTACAGAGCGATCAGAAGTCAGAAGTGCAGATAGCGTTAGGCTGTGGCTGGGCTGGCTGTGTGGCAGCGCGGGCAGAATATGTATGAAGTCGGCATGCGAGCATCACTATCCTTTAACCCCGTTTCGTGCTTTTCCCACCGAAAAAATGGCACTGTAGCTGTGGCGAACCTTCACAAACGGCAAGGACCACGTTAAACAAGGTGAATGTCTTTGAACGTGTGACTGTTTGATGGCGTAAAAGTCATCAAGCTGAGAGGGTAAGTGGCGGCTGTGACTGATAACTCACTCACCAGGTATGAGTGGGGTGTGGGCTCAAATCCCGCTGGGGATGAAGTCTTTCGCGCATACCTCAGAAACCTTGTGATTCGTTGAAAGTTGGAGTTAAAGACACGTTCCGCGATAAACTAAGGCTAGGTTCTCATAACCGTGCACGACGGTCAAGCAGGCAACGTCAGAGGCTATACTGCTTTCAAAAGTTGAAAAACAGCAAGCAAAACGCACGGCGCTCATGTTTTAGGCCCATTGGCGCCCGATAGGCCCAATCGGCCTAAAACAGCCGGCCTCCAGTGACCGTGTCGTTGTGAGACTGCCATTGCGCTCTCTCGCCCGTCGTTTTCTGGCCTCTCTCGTCTCTTATCAGTGTATCGCCGCCTTTCGCAATTCACAATTGATCTTGACCACCTTACGCTCGTCCGGTGATCATGATCAATTGCAATAAAGAGGGTCTTATTCCGGGCGCTTTTTCGTGCTTCCTTCTCCTTCAATAAGTCAACAAACACACGGCAGTTCTATTTTTGAACCGTATTACCTATGAGCTGTGGTCGCGGGAATTGCCTTTAAATTGAACACATTTGTGCCTTTCAAGTAGACAAACAGAAGGCGTCATATCTATCACCCAGTGAGATGAAAGGAGTGGATGGTACAATTGAGCTCGGCTAGCCTGTGTGATCCCCGCGAAAAGCTTACAGTATGAATGTTGGGTATTTCCGAAAACGACATCTTTCAGGAAAAGAAGCTTTCTAACAAAGTTAATTACGAAATTTTGAAAGAAATTGAGCATACGGCAACAGGAGTTGAACCATTGGAGCGAGAGCCAAACTCTTCACAAGTGATTGAGGTAGTCTCTACATTTCGATGATTAGCTAATTCTTTTTGTAATTCATTTTTTCATTTAAGAATGTGAATAATCTCGTAGCAACACTAGCGATGGATAAGATGACAAAATCTGTGAGTTTGTTTTTAGCAAAGGCTCTCGTGCAACATCTTCGGAACCTGATCCCAATTTAAGGAAAGCCTTTTGGGGAACACGGATCCTTTCCCTATTACGCCGGAGAACATGTCACGAAGAGAAAGGGAAATTGCCAGGAGAAACAAACCACTCAAAGACCCATCAGCATTGAGACTAGCGTTCAAAATGGAACCATCAACGCTGGTTAGTTCGAAAGTTTGTGATATTGATTTTTGTTGTGCCTGAGCTTCGAAACAATGAATTTCCTTGATTGACAAAATTCAGTTTGGAGGAGTCTCCGAAATACCCAAAGCGGAATCAAAACCCATTGCTCTTAGCCGGTTAGTAATAAATTTTTGCTGTTGTTGTTTTCAATTCTTACAACTCTGTTATTTTATTTATTAGCTAGAAGGACAAAAGCGAAAGGTTGGATTTTAAACTGGAGGCTTACTCAACAATACCTAAACGGTTGACACTCCCGTGTACAAGTTGAGTTGGTATAGAGAACTAGAATAATATTGATCATCCCATTCAAAAGTGCCGTGACATATAGAGGAATGGCAGAAAAGCAAAGGGGATAGGGAAGCGGGCTACTATACCATTTGGAGGCTAGTACCTTTAGCTGTGTATCTGTGAAATTTGGCGAACCTACCCACAGAGGAAGTTCTCGAGAAATTGAAAAGAAGCCCGAGTGGTGAAAATCAGCGCCCGATTTTCAAATCAGACGTCATAAGAGGGAAGTGCGCTGCTCAAATTCGACCTGCGCCGGACCAGTAGTTGTGTGTAATGGTGTTCTCGAAATGGAAGGTTTGGTTCAGGAGCCCGAAGAAGGAAGAAAGGAAAAAATTTGTTGTCGTGGATGGTCCCATAATGTTCATCCTGCACAAGAAAAAAGGGTGGATGAAGTCAAGCGCTGAATGTCTGATCCCAGAGCCTGGACCTTTGTCGAGCTTCCCCGCGAGTCTGACATCCCAGCTGCAACTGCTGCCCGAGTTATGTCCGATAAACTGAGGATGGTCAAGAGGGTGTGCGCATGGGTACCTAATTTTCTTGTAGAAGCACGAACGCAGTACCTATTCTGTGCCTCTAGCAGTAATGTTCTCAGCATGAGATGTCATTCACGACTGTGAAAACGCACCCCGGCCCTAGATGAAATATGGGTGGTCTTGGACCTCGAGCCAAAACTCACAATCGTCAATTTTGTATGAATGCAGATGAGAAGCCGCCCGAGTTCTACCATGAGAGTTACGTGGGCGCAAGTGGATGATCATCATAGCAAAGGATTCCCACACTGTGGCTTTCAAGCGGCTCTATACAGAGAACAAATCCGTCACTGTCGGTGCATATTGCCTGTTCCTCGGCATTCAGATCGACAAATGGATGATACCACACAACTACAAGAAGGCCACCGTTGCTCGTCATAGTGCCAGACCCCGAGTAACTGTATTGTAGGGCAGTGCTGGGACACAAACAATACTGAGACCTGGGTTCAATCACCCCATTCGCCCACATAAAGCCGAGCGATTCCAAGTTGTTCTCGTCAGTCGAGAGTACTCTCGACGGCAAACGCTACAATGTTTTGTCATTCGCCGAAATTGGCATCAACAGCAATTTACTCGCACTTGTTGAAAAATCGAAGGTACCCGAAATATCTTTTTTTATCTATTCTCCTCTTTGGTTTATTCCATAAAAACCGACGGTATTTTTGAATGGGATGACCTAATAGAATAATACTACTTTCGCCTTTCGAAACGTCACGGAAATGAAGCTAGATGCTTGAGTTCGCTTGATTGTAGAGCGCGTTCTTCGCGATCCATCGCACGATTGTGAGCTGGTGTGTGCTTGCCCTGCTGTTGAATTTTACCATGCACCGTCAGTGTACTGCAGTATTCAAATTGGGCTGCGTCCACATAGTGCTTATTTGGATTCTGCCGTTGCGGCGGTGCATTGTTTGGCGGTGGAACGCATCCGGTCAGGATGCGTTCCAATCTCTCGAGCTCCGGTCGCACTATGCAGATACTCTAGCATTGTCGCGCGAATGGATCGCAAAGTATGAACGCGCTCTCACACTGATGTCTCCGCCTGCCAATCTATACACCTCAAAATCACGTAGTATGCTGCTCGTCCTCGCCTCTCCGAGGTAGGGGTTGGGGGGCTTGACACCTAGGCCGGTGAGGCAGCTTTTTCGTCCTCATCATAGCTCATCTTTTCGCAGATTGTACCTCCCACGCATCTTATGGAGTCAGCTAGTTGACTCGATCAGTATCTTTTTGAAATGCGCAGGCGAGCAACGCCAGTGACCTGTTGGGGTAATCGAATGGCTCGCGGAGCCATCGCGGAATTCCGCACAGATCACTCGGCATTGTTAACTTCTTTGTCGGCTCTCTCAAGTAATGACCGGGGAACTGTTCCGCGGCTGTGAACCTGCACACTTGTTGACGCAAAGTTTCCTCTCAGGTACTCGTAGCTGGTAACAGCTTGTTGGAGAACTGGGGTTTATGGTTAGCCAATGTTGTGAATTGTTCTGGGCAAAAGATCTATTTATATCATTATAGAAAAATTTCCTTTGCTTTTTAATATTCTGGCTAGGCTGAAGTATGGCTCAATAAACATTGAAACGCACATCCTTTTCGTTTGTAACGCCAAAAACACGGTCTGATCTCCCATTCACATACCTACTTTCAGGTGCTCCCGACATGGTCGCGGTATAAGGCCTAATCTTGCAAACGGGTCTAGATTTCCTGCAAAAACTTCAGTATCACTTGCTGGAACCTGCTACTAGTGAGATGCCATAACGTTGGTGTTCACACTTGGGAGTACTACTTCGCTTCTCGATGGCAGCGAATCTAGTTAGTTGACGTAGATCTATGCGCATCCATTATCTTTAAAACGTGGAAACGCACAACGGCTTGATGCGGCATCACCCAGGAACCAGAAATGAAACCATTGGCTAGCTTGGCAAACGTAAAAGTGTCGCCTACGCAGGTGTTTCCAAACGGAGATCATGTAAGAAAGTGGTTCCTTTTTTGTAATCTTTTTCTATCAAATTCTGTTACGAGCTCAGAGCAAAATCTGTCTTTCTCACACAACGGTAGTTCGAGCATAAAACTGATGTGAGAAACTGAAACAAATCTTTTTTTATGCTTCTGAGTACTATCCCCACCACATCAGCTTCACGCCCCTAAATTTTCTGTGCAAAAACCTGTACGGTAACTGGTGAATGGTACTTAATGGACGAGTGTGGTACTCAGAATGCGTAAGTGAGGAATCAACTCCTGTCTGGGATCGAACATTTTGCTCGTGAATGCACGAACAGTGGCAACAGTAATTGCCAAAAAATAGTTCTGTTTTCTAGGCAACTTCATATGATGAAGGCGAAACTCCTGAACATGCTACAGATCTTCTAGAACCGGTACCGGAACAGGAATCTAGTTCTAACAGTGTGGAATTATCCCAGGTGATAGCTATTTGAACCTTTAAGCGACTGCTGACCTTTTTCGAAATATGGCTGTAGTTTGGGCTATTGAGGTGCAGTCAGGGCAGCGAAGTAGGCGTTGTAAAAGAGGTCGCATGCGCGGAATTCTTATCAAAACGCAATCTAGTTAACGTGGCACTTCTTCAGTATGTCATGTTCACCAACTAGGCAATACCCCTGGTAGTTTGCGCGGCGTATGGCTCACCCGCGCTAACGGGCCAACCCCGCGGTTTTGGAAAGAAGCGTGATTTGATGCGCTGAAAATGCGTTAACTGCTAGAGTGTAAAAAGATGCAAAAGTCGAAGAGAAACACTAAAACTGTCCTGAAATGCTCCACATAGAGCCCCATGCTGAACCGCGTTCGTAGAAGGGGCGTGGTGAGACGAGTTCTCACTGTTTAAGCTGGTTGTTTTGCATGTTGATCTCTTCATCACTCCTGCCTGCCGTCACCCTATCAACACTTGAGACGAAGAGAGGCTAGCACAACGAGGTCAACGGCAACCATCGGCAAGAAATTCTTTCATTATGTGGCGTTGCAGTAAGGCGGGGCAGGTGTACCTTTTGTGAATGAACGGGTCCGCGCTTCCTCCACTGGTTGTTTTCGAACTGCAAGCCAAGTACATCCTCCATCGCAGCCCGAGGCAGGACTACCATTTCAAAAGTAAGGCGTCTGAATATTAGATAAGACCAGAGTTGCTTCAAGCTAGGTTTATCTGACTCTTCTGCCCACGTCAGTGTACGCCCAGAAGTCTGCGTGAGTTATGAAGGATGGAGAGAGTTTCTCGTTTACGCAGGATGAGGAAACAGATACTCCCCGTAAAACTCTTGCTAATTCCTTCAGCTATTGGTTTCATCTCGATGGTTTTTAACATTATCCAATAACGTACAAAGCAATCCATCCATTCCATTTTTCCAACATTTAGGCGAAACCTGCGGAACTGAATGACTCCGCCGAGTCTGCTAAACTGGGAACTGGGCTCTTAACGCGGAATCGTCGATCAGTTGTCAAACCTCGTGTTATGATTGTAAAAGATCGCACCGCTGAAGAGGTAAAATCGAGCCTTTCCTTTCTTTTCCATTTATATTCCTGATCTTTTCTACCTCCTGTATGTGAACGTCACAATAGAGCTGTAGATGTTGAATGTAAAAGATTGAGCTTTTTTTAGGGAGCATCTAAGGACCCAGTCTTGAATCAGTTCGCTTCAGTTAGCAAAGAATCCAAATTGTTTGCGGAGGAAAAGGTCAATTTGAAAGCTCAGGAGAATCCAGTTAGTACTGAAGAAGTTGGCGATGTACCTCAGGTTTGTATGAAAAAGATTTTTTTAATATTTCTACATCAAAGTTGATAAGTTGTAATCCACAATAAATGATTACTGAATGCAAAGATGGGAAATTCAGGCAGTTGTTGCCAGTGAGTTGTCTGAAACTGGCGAAAAACCTCCGGTGCTACTGAGACGTGGCCGACGTCCTTTAATTAAGCCTTTGTTGCCGAAAACAGAAGCAGGCACTAAACAAACTGGTAAAAGTAAAGAAATAAGCGTCGAAGGTGTTGGTTCCGCTGAAGAGGTGGAGGTTTTTTTACTAATTCTGTGCAGCTATAACCTAATAACACGTATCGAGTCGGTGCATATGAGTTCTCCTTTAGCAGTCGCTAAGTTAACTCTCTTCTGAGACCGACTGTTACTGGAAACGGAGTTCAGTTGGATGTCTGGTGTATATGTCTGAAGTTTATGTTTCCCAGTCATGAAAACCTGGCAGTAAGATTAGTTGAGGTGTAGTTTGGGACATCGGAGAAGCGGCACCGCGTGCAAACCAGCATGACCAGGTAGTTGACTAGGCGCATAATCTTGGCGTCAAATCAATCAAGATGTGACTACCTACGCTCTGCGCTGTTTATTTCACGTTCTTTTCTGAAAGCAAATCGACAATCGATAAATTATCTCGTCTTTTTCATATTTTGAGCGCCACTAAATGGGTATGTGGCAAGAGAATCGTAATTTGCCGCGCCAGTGGGCGTCGCGTGCGACGTCGCGCCTGCTAATGACGACGATTTCAGGTGGTATTGGTCGAGAATAGACAATGTATGACCAAAAATAGACATAAGTGTCTACCATGCCTTTGTCTACATGAAATCCGATGCTCAATCGAAAGGGTAGTGCAAATTAAGGAAACGTCGCGCCCATTGCCGCGCGCGACGAAGCGGCAATTTACGATTCTCTTGCCCGTCTCCCCCACTAAATGATTGAAGGTCATTAATTGAAACCGCTGATAGAACGTTTCCCTACAGTGACCCTGAAAATTTAGAAAGAAAGGGGGAAATTTATCGCTTGTTTACCTACCGTTTTTTAAACAATCTTCCTTCTTCTTGTGAGGTGTAGGCAGTCTTCGCAATTTTGTATAAGCTACCTGTATAGCTTTTGTATAAGTTATTCTTATGTTTCCCAGTCCCTTGACTCTTCAGTAGGCGGTTAGGAATTTTTGTCCTACGCGCCACCCGCTTGGGTGCACGGTTTAGCAATTTTTGTCCTCGGCACCGCCCACTTGGGTGCACGCCGCGCCCATTATGGGCGGGCCAGCACAACTTATATGTTCCGTCCATTTTAACCTATGCCCAATCCATATCAAACTTGACCTCCCTAGAACGACTTTTATGTAATTCCAATTTTCTGAGCGGTCAGACAAAAGCATAGAACTTCTGATTCACATGTGAAAGGATAAGACCTTTATGTGAACGGAACTCCTACAAAAATAAACTGAAATACGTCACTAGCTCATGCTATTTCTTTCGAATGCGAGTCAACCGGCCACTGACGGTGGTTTGCGCGCCCTTCCGCGACTCTCTTCTCGTGAACTACACCTCATACATCATGCTCTGGGAAGCTAAGCTCTTTCTTGAAAAGCTTAAAACTTCGTGTTGTTGCCTAACACTACTCGTGACAATGAACTTTTCTGCAGAAACCACTCATCAATATCGACTCGTCTGAAATGAAATCGCCAACTTCTCTAGCGGAAGAAGTGGGTGTCTCACCACCTAGAAAGGTAGGGCGATAAGTCTAATAGCTCCCTAATGATTCGGTAGAACCTTAGGTTTGAGTTCGATAGCTGACATTGATTTCTTCTACAAATCTCTGCTTATGTTGTTTCTGACTTATAATCTTCCAGAGGCCATGCTTGAGATCTCCTGAACGTGATGAAACACCGGAATTAACTCGTCCTCGACCAAGAATAAGTGCTCGGCTGTCCCGTGGGTCGGCAAAACGATAGCGTATGTACGTTCTAGAATTTTTTTGTTAATGTAGCTGACTTTGTTAATGTCATTTGTTTCTTTCTTTACAACTTCAAATCATGTTAAAGTCCAACTAGATAGTCGTAGTATTATTGAATGACATCTGCTCGGCTTGTAAATTGTAGGTAGGGCGATCTCGTGTGTGCAAATTGTATTCATTGAATTTTCATGGCTATTCACTGTTATGCTGTTATTATTGATTTGTTTGAATATTGGCTTGTTCACAGTTGATGGATAATGTTGTTAATGTTGTTAATAAGGCAATTCTTCATATTTATCATCCAATACTCATCAAAAACTCAACAATCGTCGATTTCTATCAGATAAATTTATTAGCTAACGCTAGAACCTTAGCAAACTGTGCTTTATTTTTGTTTTCTAAGAGTTTCACTGGTATCGGTGATGTGATTCGGATTTCCAAGTGGATTTCCTGAAGCAAGTATTATAGGTTAGTGTGGTTGGAAATTAGAGACGATTCTAAGAAATTAAGTAGGAAAAAAAGTTCAGTGTACTGCATGAAGGGGCCTGCAGCTTAAATTGTTTTTAAGGAGCCATATGGAGTGTTCGCTTATCCCATGACCCTGGTACCTTCGTCCCCGCGCATGTTCAGACGGGGAAAGCACTTTGCTTCGACAACTAGGAGCCTGTTAGCCCTGCCCATGTCCAGGATACACTCGCATGCGCGTGGCCACTAACGGTCGATAAGGAATAAGCTTCTTAAGCAACTACGACGTTACCTAATGCTGAACAAAAG